ATATTATTAGCAAGTTTATATTATTAGATATTTTCCAGTTGTTTTATTTAAGCCTATAATAATAATAAAGTGTTTAAGTAGGAAAGGTACATTCAGATATTCACTGGTTTCCAAGAAAATGCTGGGGATGTTACTATTACCCAATTTAATAGTACTTATGTTATATACCTAATAAGGATGTAGGACTCACAGATTGATAAACTGTATTGATTACAACGACATTATAGCATGAAAGTTGAGCTTTTGGATGGAAAAACTTAAATGTTTATCAAGATGTATGAAGCTACATATACACTGGGTCACTGTGTCATAGTATGCAGCTGCTTTTATTTTTATCTGCCTTCCTATAGCTCTCAAATAGTCTACAAATATTATCTCAGTATTCTTCCTTACAATAAGAATTCTAGAAACATATAACTGTATGACATATGACTGTAATGTTTGGTGGAACATTTTTGGACAGTTTCCTGAACCGCGTCCCATTGAATTGTCTTGTTTGATGCACCAAATTATACAGTATCTTGGCTCCCGAACAAAAGAAAACCCATTTATAAATGTATTGTTCATTCGGTGATTCAGGCTTATTGCTGTTCACGTTGGAAGCCAAATCCTGGCAAAATGCTTTCATTCTCAAACCCACAGAGACTGACTTAAAAGAAAAGATAATTACACACAAGTCCCGGTTGTGTTACCATCTCAATATTTCTCCAAATATTTCCACTGGCACTGAAAAAAATGTTTAATCATAGACATTAGCAATCGTTTCAAGTGCATCTTTGGCCACTTCCAGCTGGGTGCATTGGGTTTCTGTTTACTAGGTTTAATTAACAAATACAAAAAACATTCTGTTTATTGAGATTTGTCTCTTTACTGTTGGGGGATGCAATCAATTTGAAGAGCAGAGTTGTGTATTTTACTGTCAGAAATGACATGGCATAAACATGCATCTTCTGTGATAAAATGGACAGATTCGCAAAGATGAAATGCTAATATGCTTTAGAATGAACATACTGGTGTAGCAAACTAAATTTCTCCTAAATAGCTCACACCCTAGTTACAGGATTCTCCACCGTAATCACATGTTAGTCTTAAACCTCCCGATATTTGAAATGGACAAAGAGGTCCTTTAATTTTGGGACGTTAGTGTGGGTCAGGCCAGGGGAGGGCGGTTCTGAGAAATGTTAGGTGATTTACTAATAACAATTTATTAAACTAAAATGTAATTTAGAACAAGAACAGTGTATCATATTTACACAAAATCATTTCTAAACACATTTAGTGCAGTTTAACGACACAGTACTGTGAATAATATAGCTATGGAGCAAAACTGGATAAAACGTGTGTGAACATATAGGAATTGAACATCATTAGGAGAGAGAGGAGATGGACTTCACCAAAGAGAGGCTGTAGTTGTGTCCATGGTTTCTTGTGTTATAACCACTAGAATACATATCCTCTAAGTGTCTATATTTGGGGCCCAAAACCCTATTTTTATTATAACGTCCCTCTTTTCCAGGACCTCCATATTGTTGGTGTGTATAACGTCCCTCTTTTCCAGGACCTCCATATTGTTGGTGTGTATAACACCAACAATATGGAGGTCCTGGAAAAGAGGGACGTTATAATAAAAATAGGGTTTTGGGCCCCAAATAGAGACACTTAGAGGATATGTACTCTAGTGGTTATAACACAAGAAACCATGGACACAACTACAGCCTCTCCTTGGTGAAGTCCATCTCCTCTCTCTCCTAATGATGTTCAATTCCTATATGTTCACACACGTTTTATCCAGTTTTGCCCATAAAACTTTGCTTCAGCTCTTCAAGTGTTTGGTGAAATCTCGGCTGATCCTTTAACAGCCAATGAATTGGAATAAGGAGCCTGTGCCAAATCCAATTTGACAAAATCCAAATGAACTGCAAAAGTCTCCATGCACCATAATTGCTTATGTAGTGGTCATAGTGTTTTGTTATGTTGTAATAAACATATTTGATTAAAAAAAGAACATACAATAAAAGTTTAATAGATTCCATCCTTTTCCTCATGAATATGTGCGAAGTTCATATTTTTATAATGAGCAGGGCCACAATTAAAGGGCACGTGTCATGTCCCAAACAACCTTTGCACATTAAATTAAGCATAATATTTTTCCTATACATTGTGATAATAGTTGTGACTAAAAGCCGTCACTGAGTACCATGCCCACATGTGCCCACTCGCTTTCCTGCTTATTGTTTTCAGGTCCTCACACTTGGGATCTCCCTATCTGCTCCTACAGGATCTAGAATCACTGTAAGGAGGAGCTCCAGAAGCTTCATGCCTGTAGCCGGCCTGTCTGTGGCGGAACTACTATTTATTCGTAAGATTGTGCTTGTCCCATTCTAAATATGATATTGCTACACCATGCTTGCTCAGATCAAAAAGACTCATTATCTAAGAGTAGAATCAAGACATATGGCAGATGTCAGAGTTTGTTTGTACAGAAACCAGACTTCCAGGTCACTTATGTGTGACTTCTCACACCTTGCAGAGTAGCTTCAAAGAGGAATTTGGTCTGTAAGTTCTGACCTCCAAGACAGTCCAATTAACCCCTTTTGAACAGGCAGACAGTTCATATATGCCCTACACATATATGCATTAAATGGCAATATTCTATAGTGCAACAATGACATATTAAAATGTGTTTTTGGGGTGTTTGGAATTATTGTAGATTCTTCTGTACTTGAGAGATGATTAAATTAAAGAGTTTTTCTCACGCAATTATCTCTCAGGCACAGAGGATCTTGGGATTGAAACCCCTGTTGTATTGTGTTGGAGACCCCTTGTAGGGTTTTGTGCATTAAAAGCCACATTTGGCCAAATAAACTTCAGTTCAATTGTACTACCAGAACTGTGTGTCGTCCTGTTACTGGGGAGGAGGAGAGATATTCCTTTGAGGTTTTTCTTGTTCCTGATTGTACTTTTGTGGATCCAGCGGAGAAGAATCCCTGCTAGGACTAGGGCTCCGCTACAGTAGTTATGCTAGCAAATGTATAGATTAGGAGAAATAGTTTATTTTCTCCCAGCTGTCTGTCAATGTCTCGGCATTGACTGACAAGGGAGAGCAGAAAAGACCTCCCACAGGAGTTCCCTCTGCTCTCCACCCATAGCAACCACCGTACATGCACTGTGGTTGTTATGGAAACCCCCTAGCGGGAGCTTCCTGCACTGGAGTATTAAGAAAGAGTGATGTGCGCATGTAACTGAAGAGATTTGTTCTGTTTGGGGGTGTGTCCCAAACAGGGCAAATCAAAGCAGATATTGGAGGAGCGGAGGGTGGCGAGGAGGTGGGTGTTATACAACGAGTAACATCCATAAAGTGGCACTGGACCGGAGGAAATGTGAGTAAATATTTATATTTTATATTGAATACACCATGTATCTTTGTGATATATGGTGTATTCAATGTATATCAGAGCAATTTTACGTAAGTTAATTTTTTCATAACAGGTTCACTTTAACCCCTTTTAACCAGGAGGGAGATGATTTGCATCCTCCTCCCTATTAAAATGGTAGCTCGAAGGAAGTGAAAAAAAAACAATTAAGCAAAAACATCATCAACCAATAACATAGTTCCATTATCCTTCCTTGACTTTAGACAAATTCCCATCAGTTCATTACCAAGGCTATAGATCAGGTCATCGTTAATCAGCCAACAACACCCTAAATCATGACATATATAACATTTTAGCCGGGAACATGGTTGGCAAAGCTATATTAACATGTAAGTTAAGTACCGTAAGTAAAAGTCAAGTATGTAACACACCTGATTTATCAGGCAACATCTGAAATCTGCATTCTCCTTTCTGTTTAACCTTTAGTCTTGGTTTTTTATCCATTTAGTGAATAAGAATGTTTACATAATACTGTTTGGGTTCAAAATTCTGCCAACATTTGGCAGTCACCTGTAAAAAAAACAACAACTATGGACGTGTAATATTATGTGGGCCTATTATAATCCATCTGTGAACCTCATTTACCTGGTACGGCCTGTCATTCTCTGGCATAGTGATAACCAGGCTTGGTCCTACGGTTGTTGTATACAAATTATGCCAAATTCCCTTCTAGCCACGGGCTGGCAAATAATTATGGAAAAGGCCATAAACAGTGCCAAGGGTGAACATGTTTGTTCTACCACAAATGCTTGCTGCATCCTTGATGGAGCCTCTCTTTTAGTGATTGGCTAGTAGAAATCATTTTAGATTTCCTTTGTAAGTGAATGTCTTTGAGCGTAGCCAATAAATCATAAATTGTGCTATCCTACATGCTTGCCACAATGACATTTATTAGCCCTGTTGATTTATGTGGTTTCCACTTTTCATTTTGATATGGCAACAACACTGCATTATTTGTTACATTCATATAACTTGGTATATATATATATATATATATATATATATACATACACACACACACCTAAACATTGTCTCGCTACTAATGTGGATATCCCAATTGTAACACTCTCCTTAAATTATGAGTAATTGGTAGAACCTTGATTGGTAGAACCTTATTTTAAAATTCCTTAGAAAGGTAGTTCTCAAACTGTTTGTGTCTTTAAACTAGTTTAAACATGTGAGTACACCCTTGCCAATATTTTTTCAAAAGAAAACTATTTAAGACAATTCTTAAACTTATAACAGACAACATCAATGACAGATATTTTTTTTAATGCTTTAAGTCAGTTGTCATTTGTCCAAAACATACTGTTTAGTGAAAAGAGTTTTAAACTTTTATAAAAGAAAAAACCACAGATTAAAAAAAAAAAAAAAAAAAAGATCTTCCCCCTAATAAAAGCAGGTAGGAGAAATCCGTTAGTAAAACAGATTCTCTATGAGAGAATAGGAAGTCAGTGCCTTAATGGTAAAGTTTGTTTTTCCTGCTCTGTCAGGTAATGGAGCAGAGAATAGGAGACAGATGACAAGGTTACCTGAGGGGTTACAGAGGGATAGCCAGGCTGAACCATGGAGGATTTTAAGACAGTAACTTATAACATCTTCACAGTATGGCTGGCCATGATCTTCGTGCTGATTTTATTGCCTTCTATATTCAGGCTTTCTCTGGGTATCTCTGAAGTGTACATGAAAATCCTGGTTAAAACATTAGAGTGGGCAACCTTGAGGATTCAAAAAGGATTTGAACGTCAAAAGAAACTTCGAGCATCCACTTCCAATGTTATAATCCAGAGAGATGAGTCGCCAATGGAGACTGAGATTGGGGGCCTGAGACAATCGCGAAGTCAGTGCTTGCAGCAAGGAGACTTTGAACTGTCCAATGTGTTCTATTTCTCCAAGAAGGGGTTTTAAGCTATTGTTGAAGATGAAGTGACTCAACGGTTTTCCTCTGAAGAACTTATATCCTGGAACCTTCTCACCCGAACCAACTACAACTTTCAGTATGTCAGCTGGAGAGTCACACTCATCTGGGTGCTTGGAGTGTTTATACGTTACTGTATTCTCCTTCCCCTGTGTGTTACCTTGGCTACAATTGGGATCAGCTGGCTGGTCATAGGTGCGACTCTTGTTGGGCAACTGCCAAACAGCAGTGCGAAAAGGTGGCTCAGTGTTCTGGTACATCTAGTTTGCTGTTGGATCTGTGCAAGGGCTCTCTCCAGTGCTATCCAGTACCATAACAAAGAGAACCGATCTAAAAAAGGAGGCATTTGTGTAGCTAACCACACTTCTCCAATAGATATCATCATTCTGGCTAATGATGGGTGCTATGCTATGGTTTGACAGATTCACGGAGGGCTGATGGGAGTTATTCAGAGAGCAATGGTGAGAGCTTGTCCACATGTGTGGTTTGAGCGTTCTGAAATGCGAGATCGCCACCTTGTGACAAAAAGGCTTGGAGAACATGTTTCTGATAAAACAAAGTTACCCATTTTGATTTTCCCTGAAGGTACCTGCATCAATAACACATCAGTTATGATGTTTAAAAAGGGAAGTTTTGAAATAGGAGGCACCATTTATCCAGTGGCAATTAAGTATGACCCTCAGTTTGGTGATGCTTTTTGGAATAGCAGTAAACACAGTATGGTGAGCTATCTACTACGGATGATGACCAGCTGGGCACTCAAGTGCAACGTATGGTACCTACATCCAGTGTCAAGAGAGGAGGGCGAAGATGCTGTTCATTTTGCCAATAGAGTAAAGTCTGCAATTGCCAAACAAGGAGGACTGATTGAACTTGACTGGGATGGTGGTCTTAAAAGAGATAGTCAAAGAATCTTTCAAAGAGGAACAGCAGAAGAACTACAGCAAGATAATTGTAGGCGAACATAATTCCTTTCAAAAAACGACCAACTGAACATTTTTTGAGGCTATCAAACAACAAACAGAGTTTATTCATTTTTTTTTTCTTTCACGTTTGCACTAATGAGATGGAGGATAAAGTGAAGTAAATTTCACTGCCATGCAAAGATTGCCTGTTTCTCACCTTGTGAAGTGATTGGGCAACTTTGATTTTCCCTGAATTTACAGGATAATACCAGTTGACTTTGGTCAAGAAACACCACCTTGCAGTAGCGACGTTTATATTGACTATAACTGATAAATCTTCTCAATGCTGGGTCTTCAACAGTAAAGCTATAAAGTGAATTTTGGATCAATGTAAATTAACATTTCCCATTATATGGGGAATGACATTGGTACTATTTCTAGTTAGATTTAATAATCGATTTGTGTTTTCTGGTCATGTCATAAAAACATTCTATATGGAAAACATGCATTTTGTTTATGTATTTGTACAAATATGTATGCATCAGTTCAGTTTTGTTGTATTTTTATGCTGTGCAAATTATACTATCGTTGCAACAACAATTTCTACATCCAGGCTACTAAAATTAGGCAAATATGGTGTCCTTCTGGAACACTATAACAGTGCAATTCTGCATTATGGAAAAAAATATAATATATATAGTAAGACATTTGTCTGTCTGATGCCATACTTTCAAATTACATCCTAATACTAAACAAGACCTTGCCCAAAAAGCTAATGCAGTGTCTTATGAGCAGTGTTTTCGATCTCATTACATGTTATATTCCGTCCTACTATGATTGCTGTACTCATTGGTTGGTTTTATCTCTCAAATATCCTTTAATAAAATTTGTTTTGAGTTGAAAAAATAAAAAAACTGATTCTCTACTGAAAAAAATGGACTTTGGATGTTATATGCAGATAAGAAAAATAAAATCATGGAGTTTTTATCAAATACTTCTCTCTACGGATTAAAAATAAACAACAAAAATAAAACTATTCAAAAAGCATATTAGTAAAATACTTTTTATTTAAATCCAGGGAGAATTTGAAGCCTTGTGGTATTAACAAGAGATTTGCTCAGTGATTACTTTATTATTAGGCAAGTAATGCCAGAAGACATACTCATCTGATTTGTAGTCACTAGATGTTATCCCTTTTATTAAACTAACCCCTCACTAGCCTAATTTCTTAACTGCATTATCCTTGTCTTTTCTCTTTCAATTCCACTTTTGTCAGTTAATCTCATTGTAACCTCATGTGATGCTGCCCTTTCCTCAGCATGAAAAAGAGGACTATCCTACTAGTCGCAGTTTGTGTCCAGAAGATGTGCTATCTCAGCAGAGCCTCCAGGTAGTTCGTTCCACATATTAATTTACTTGAAGGACACCAGGTAATTGATGATAAACTTTGCACTTTCGGATTAAAAGGGATGCCAGAAAAACATAACTTGAATATTATCAGCAAGACTCTGAAAGTGGGTTTGTGCGAATATTATTAAAGTGTTTGGTATACCCTGTCCCTGTCCACTATATATTTAAGTAAGCTTTCTATATTTGGACTTAAAACTGATTTGGGTTAAAAGACACTAATGGCACCAACAGCGCTTCTTCTCAATGAAATGGTCTGGGTGCAGTGGTCCTTTAGTTCTAGCCATGCAATGTAGAATGTTGCCATTTAGTAGATACGGCAATGATTCCATTGCACGGATAAATAAACCTCTAGTGAATGCCTTCCTGATAGGCACAAGAGGTACATCCACTGCAATGACTGAGTTTGACTAGGTCAGATGACCATGAGAAGCATTTGATTGGACAAGTGATGTTCTTGGCACACATGTGCTTCTTTTCCCTAGAATTGGCTTTTGCGAGAAGAAGTGATGACCGCTGGACGACACTGTAGGAGGAGAATGTCGTCCAGCAGGTCTGCTGAGTAAAGGTTAAAATATTTTTCTTTTTTTAAGTTAATGGGGGGGAGTGCTAAATCTAAACACTGAGGACACACTATATTGTTAGGAAATCATGTTTGTATTAATAACAATATAGTGTTCCTTTAATTGTATCAATAAAGTTCATGTTTGCACCTGGTAGCACCCCCACTAGTTGTTTACATTCTGGTATCTACTCTAGGCCCTTCAGCTGTTATTTATTGTTTCCATGCTTACCTACACAGAGCCCATGAGAATTCTGCAAAATATATTTTGATATCACCTAGAGCAGTGTTCTGCAACCTTTTAGAACCCGCGGCCTGGCGAAAAGAGAAGAAACATCTTGCGGACCGGCGTCAGCCAGCAATAAAAACCAATGTGTGAGGGATGCAGTGTGTGTGTGTGTGTGTGTGTGTGTGTGTGTGACGGGTGCAGTTTGTGTGTATGAGGGGTGCAGTTTGTGTGTGTGTGAGGGGTGCAGTGTGTGTGCATGGGGGGTAGTATATGTGTGGGTATCAGGCAGTTTGTGTGTAAAGGTGGCAGTGTGTGTATGGGGGCAGTGTGTGTGGATATGGTGGGAGTGTGTGTGTATGGGGGTCAGTGTGTGTGTATGGGGGTCAGTGTGTGTATGAGGGGGCAGTGTGTGTGTATGGGGGTCAGTGTGTGTATAGGGGAGAATAATTGTGGGTCTGTGGGGTTGGAGGGTAGAATAATAAATATATACCGTATATACTCGAGTATAAGACACATTTTTTTGTGCTGAAAAAGCCCCACTCGTATTGTACTCGAGTCAGTGTCTGTATTATGGCAACTTACATTGCCATAATACAGACCAGGACTGCCGGGCTCATTACAAGCCCGGCGGTCCTGTTGGGGGCTGGCAGCGAGCTGTTACTTACCTTTCTTGCAGCTCCTGTCAGCTCCCTTCTCCTCCACTGTAAGTCTCGCGAGAGCCGCGGGGTAAGAGCGTTGCCACGGGTTACCGTGGCAAGGCTCCGCGCGGCAATCAGACCACGAGACTTACAGTGGGGAGCTGACCGGAACGGAGGAGAAGGGAGCTGACAGGAGCTGCCGGAAAGGTAAGTAACAGCTCGCTGCCAGCCCCCCTCCTACACAGCCCATTTAACTAGACCACCAGGGAATAATATAAACAAACATTTAAATAATAATATAATAAAATAAAAATTTTATAATATTAAAATAGAAATAATATTAAAAAAAACCTAAATTTAATATTAAAATAATAGTAATAATTAAAAAAAATAATATAAATGCACACCACCCACCAAGGTTACACACACTGCACTCATACACATACACTACACACACACTACACACTACACACTGCATTCATACACACACACTGCATTATATACACACATACTACACCCACTGCATTCATACACACACACTGCATTCATTATATACACAAAATAAATATTCAATTAATGTAATTTTTTGGGATCTAATTTTATTTAGAAATTTACCAGTAGCTGCTGCATTTCCCACCCTAGTCTTATACTCGAGTCGATAAGTTTTCCCAGTTTTTTGGGGTAAAATTAGGGGTTTCGACTTATATTCGGGTTGACTTATACTCGAGTATATCCGGTATATATTTTTTAATAAAATAAAAATAAATTTTGATATCCCCACTCCCTGCTTAACTTTGCCTGGGAGGGGGGGACATTTCCTGCAATCCCTGGTGGTCTGGTGGGGAAGCCCTGGTGGTCCCAGTGGTGAGATTGAACTACTGCTAGAGTTCACTCTTGCAAGATTCGGAGCGTTGCCGTGGTAACCGCTGCAACACTTTGAGCTCGCGAGAGGAGAACCCAGCGGAGCTGCAGTTTAAAGCTCCTCCGGGTCCTCGCTCCCTCCCTCCCCTGCCGGCTGCCAGCAATACACTGCTAGGGGGCCGGAGAGGGATATCTCTAATTTTGCAGCAAATTATTGCCGGTCCGCAAAACCTTTCACATGACAGTATAGTCTACGTCGTCATGTGAAAGCTTTCGCGGACAAGCAATAAATTCTTGCGGACCAGCGCCATTCCGCGGACCAGTGGATGAAGACCACTGAGCTAGAGGACTAAGAATGGTCTAGATTAGAATATTTCAGTTTTTAACAGCAGAGAACTGCAAAGCTGTTTTACAAATTTGCAAATAAATGTTAATAACAATAATTCCTTCATATATAAACTTTCCAAATAATTACATGGATTTGTGTGATGTCTGAGTAATTGGTCATTTGTTGTTTTGTATTGGATGATTGTACCTGGGTACTAGAAAAACAAGTTAGTGATACTGATATAATTCTTTTTTCTTACTTTGAAAAGGTCAAGCGAGCAGGATTTATGATAGACTGCCCTCAACCACACCATCAATCTCTTACATGAAGCAGGTTACTGCAATCAGTTTGCACTACCCTCAGTCATGCGGATCTACAAGGAATACACTGTCATGGCTGCTGTCCTATTAAATCGTTCTAAATGAACAATTATAGTCTGTGAGGATAGGTGAAATGAACATGTGATTGTTGTGTTCAGTGCTTGGAAATGGAATCTCAGAATCTCGTCACGGCATAAAAGCACATGTTGTTCATAGAGTGCTTTTTCTAACCATAATACTAACATGTCCGCTGCATTCCTATATAAAAACGAAGGTGGGATCTAATGACCTCTATTCAATATTGGTTATATTGATGGCAAAGCAACCTGTCAGTTTGACACGTTTAAATGGTCTCTTCTCAGCTATAACTGAAAGCTTATTTTACAATGTTTCATTTAAAAAAACAAACAAAAAAACAAAAACACCATTACCTATTGATTCCAATGAAATTCTGCTGGGATGAGCTGAAATTTATTACCCCCAAATAATGCAGGAAGGAAATATGACAGTGAAGGTTACTCTATCAATAATCAGTGGCTGGGCCCCCACCATAGGACGTACTTAGAGACCAGAGTTATCTGAATGTACCTTTCCTGGTTAATTACTTAAACACTTTGTTATTATTATTATTATTATTATTATTTTGTTCACACTCTAACTTTTTGTGTACTTTATTTTATATTTTGTATCAGTTACAATAATACTGCTCTTGATAATA